CTATGTTTCGAGGAAAGGGGCCTTGCTTGGAACGTTCCGTGCGGTTTTCCTTGGTCATATCAATGTGCCTCTCTCTCTTTTTCTACGAGTTTTTGACGGGTCGGCGGGGGTTGTACTCATCATCACTGGAAGAATGAAAACCAACGGATCTTTCCTCCGTTGGTTTCTCACCAGTGTTTTGACCCAACAATTACCTACCTTGGTCTTTCTTTCATCTGTCCGCTTTGATCGTTGCACGATTTTCTCGAATGGCGTTCGTGATCATTCAAAATCCATTTTCTCTACTTGTTTGAGAACTTTGATATGACGCCTTTATAAAGCCTGATTATTACTACTTGACGCGCCGGGTTCTTGTCATTTGTGTGCGCTAATTCTACTGTGTGGTTCTAAAGTATCTCGCGCTTTTACAGCCAATCATATCTTTAAACCCCCCTCTCCTTTCGACTTTCTTCAGGTCGACGAAGCGTGGTGAGTACAATTCCAGCTTCAGGTGACCATCATTACCACAGTGGAGTTCAAACTTCAGCCACACCCACTCAGCTCAATGCAAATAACAGCAATGCGAATCGTCGGTCAGTGGCGACCACTGGTGCTGCTGGCACTTCTCTCTTCACCTCCGCCACTGGAGGCGCTGTCACTGCGGCGTCTGCAAACCAATCACCATCTGCAACGAAGCCAGATAAGGGAGGTACCACTAGTCAAGCTGGAGGAAGGCTTCCTGTTCACGAGATGCGAAGGTGAGTAGGGGGGGGGGGGGGGGGGGGGAAGAATAAATGTCTATCATCAGTTCTATATTTGCATTCTCGAATATATATATTGACCTTACTTAGGGAGTGAAGTTGTGAAGAGGTGTTCGTGAAGTAGAAATCTTAAGTTTGTCTCATTAGAAATGTCTTTTTGTGCCAACTTTCATTCCCCAGTAGCGTTAATGCAAGATCTGATGAATGGTAAGACCTAGGACACCTTATTCAAATGCTCTCCAGTTAAAGTATTGGCATTCAATATTTTGTGCCACTTGGCAGGAAATACCTCCTCCTTCTGGTTGTCAAGCTTCCTAGCGGTGTATTTATTTAGTTAAGGCATGCAGTTCTCGCTATGCCCACAAGGCCCTTCATAAAAAGAATGAACTTTCTGAGGAACGAATGTGCAGAATACACAAGACTACTTTTTTTCGCCAATTCTTAGCAATGATAATATTTATTGTGATTGAGTAGGCTGTTATAGCTCCACTTACGCTATTCTCCACGTCGTTTTATGGAGCTCTCTACACTGGTTGCTTAAATTTTAAAGTCTTTACCTATTCATGTTTTTTTGTTGCTGTTTTGGTTTCTAAAACCTCTCACTGTCGTTGAATAAGGCCGTACTGATCGGTATTTGCGCACTTGCTGTTTCGCTCAACAATCATTGTGAGTTTCAGAGTGGGAGGGATCTAGTCGCCATGTTGTGTTTTCAAATCTGAGTCACATTTATATCAAATGACAGGCGTCTTGATGGTTATCATTAGCCCTTAAGTTGACTTTAGGCTTCACAGAGGGGAGGAGGAACGTCAGAATGGAAAAAATTCGAGAGGGGTTGGAGGAACAGAAGTGTTTCAAAGACAAAGGTAAAAAGGTAGAAAAAAGGTGAGGTGAGTACTGTGGAAATAGTCGAATATGGCATAGAGTGAGGTGATGGTAGTTTGAACTTCCAGTTAATAGACCTTTTTGCCGTATGAATATACGTTGCCCAGAGTGCACCACGTGGAGGTAAGTCTATCGCACACCCCAGAATGGGATCATAAACTTTACATTTCATTTAGATTGTTCAACAAAACCAATCGTTCGGACACTATGTTTCCTATTATCGGTAGTTACGGTCTAAATGTTTCCTAATTTTTCTACAAATCATTATAAGATGGGGAATATTTGCAAATTTAATTATTTAAAATTAAAGTTATGCGGTTTGTATTATGGTGACAAAAGGAAATTTCAAAGTTCGTTGTTTTTATAAGCATATCGTTAGAGTTGTCTTGGAGTCAACTTTTTTGAGTAGTGCTCAACTAAATGCACTACTGACAGACTCATCAACTTCCACCAAGGCTATTAAAAAAGAGAATATGAATAGAACGAGTGGCGAACAAAATCATGCGGCCGCAAAAAAGATGGTCGAAATCTCACCTTGAAACTGGAAGCCAATAGATTTGGAATGAGAGCAATAGTGTACCATAGCGTAAATTTGCACAAACTGCTTCCGATTTTAAGTTTGGCAAAATTCTTTTCCTTGAAAAAAAGTTTCATTTATTTATTTGTCGACAATAATGGTACATATCATCTAAGTATGAAAAATTGGCAGTCAAAATTTTTAATAATGTACATTCAAAATGCACAAACAATGATGAAATGAAATGTCTTATTACTGAAATTGGCTCTTTGTGTACGCTAAATGGTAAAGCAACTTTAAATCAGCATCTTCACCTCTTTTTGATGATGCAAAATACGCCAACATTGTTTGCATGAAAAAAAATAAAATATGCACTTAGCTCCATTTTTAAGGTGGAATGGAACCTACAGAAGTTGTATAAACATCTATTTATAGCCGAATATACAAAGGGCATAGTTAGTCTATCTGGAAGTCTGGAGCGTTTTAAAGTGTTTGTTGATGACGCAAATCGCCGAGTTAAACGTGGGTTCATGCTCTTTTACTTGCACACTTTCATTAAATATATCATTTCAACAGACCGCATTGTCACTTCAAAATACTCATGGATTAGATGTTAATTTTCCCATTATTATAGCTACTTATATTCCCATCAAACCTCGAATATTTCTACGTTGGACATTTTGGGAGAAGGAATCACTTTTATGGAGTTCTAGTCTTCTCTTACCAAGTTTCAAACCCTAGTTGAAAATGAGAGTGTTTATTCACATTCTCAAATGTATCACGCAAAAAGTAATAAAAGAGTCATATAAGTGACCAGCAAATTTATGACATTTGTCTTAACTATTTTCATTCCAAATAGCGGCTAATTTCAGAACTAAATAATTACACGCAAGTACACCGAAAGTACACATGGAACAAATATGCTTATTTATTTATTTATTATTGGATACAAGAGAAGAACTTGTTCTATAATACCCAAAAAGCATAAGAAAAAGGATATTCTAAAATGTAAATTGTTTGCTGATGTAGATTATGGAGACATTCGATGTTGATGAAGACTGGAATCCACTATATGACATCTCCTTCTTCCTCTCGCTCCAATGTGCAGAAGATGTTGAGAAAAATATACATATAAAGATAATTGTGGGGTGGGAAGGTACTACGGATCACCACGTATTACAATTTCATATTCTATCAGCACTTTTTGACATGACCTAAGGAGTTCGGATCGAAATCCGTGCCACTTGATGTGAACCGATGAGCATTAGTCTAGTGAGGTTCAAAAAGATAATTGCGAACTTTAATCACTGCTAAATGGAGACAGTATTTTTTTAAATTTATTTCTGTCTTTTGTTTTTTATTAGTACACTAGTCCACTAATACTGATGCCTAAAGGATATCCTATTAGTTTGCTGCTAGATATTCACTTAGGAGGTGGCAACAAGGAACAGCAGACCATAAATAGGGCAATTCAAAACTTCTGAGAATGGAATTTGAAAAGAGCAATATCGTTTGTAAATAAAGGTAACTTAAACGGGGAGATAAATGCAAAGTTTTCGCATAAATTCGGATTTCAAGGGGGCTGGACTACTTCTCATTTTATCCCAGGAAATAAAGCAAAATTAGATCATAATACGCTTTCAAATAAGATTTATTTCAATAAAATTTTATATTTGAATGATAATTTAATTCATCGAATAAATCGATTATTATATAATGTAATTAGCGCACAATTTTGGAACAAATCGTCTTGAATTTTATTAAGGAATA